CCAAAGAAAAAATATACAGAGACTCTCGATAAAAATTCTCCTCACACGGGGGGGGGGGACATAAACGATTTTTATTAAAGTGATATGGTATACTGTCCCCGCGGTTTATGCGCTTATGCACACAAAAATTGTGAAACTGCAAACTGAACCCAAAAATGTGAAATTCTGCGATTCTGTTGATTTTAACCAAGAACGATAAAGGAAAATAATCAGAAATTATGCTCACAAAAAATGATCAAATTTTGCTAAAATATACGGGGTACATAAAACCCGGGGACAGAATATTGTCTTTGAGAAATTCGCTGAAAGCACCCTACTGATAACAATCCTTAACCCACTAACCCTCTTTCGATCTTTGACACTGATATAACCTATTTATTTTGCAATTGCCGTACGACTTTATCCTTTATCGGTCTACTTCCATACATAATACATATTTGAAGTATGCAAAAAGACAGCAACTATTATCAATCATAGTTTCTACGGGTCATCGTTGTCTTGTATAAGTCCTCAAGTTAGAAAAAAAATTGTTTAATACATGAAATGAAACTTCTGGACAATTATTAGCGATATCTTTTTTTCTTTAACAGTCATGTCAGTACTTAACCTACACCATTTACCTATCGAGAAGAGCTGTGGGCTGCTAGAATGGTTCTTGCTCACAGACTTAAAACTGTTTTAAACTGCGTATGACAATTAAATTTTGTTCAAGGTCACTCCGAAGAAGGGAGGAACTGAGTTTTTTTGTTTGTTCGGTTTTTTAAAACTTTATTCCGCGTGATTAATCATTAAGTTAATTAATTTAGTTGTATGTTCCACAAGGAGGTCTCACGAAAGTTATTTTCTCTTTCAGCGTCCAGGGCGTGACTTCAAAACAGTGACAGCCATGACTGGCGTGTATGAGGTCGAGCTTAATGAGTTCATGACGAAAGAGGGCGTGGCTATCCTGGCTCAGCCACTCAACGATCAGGAAACTCTTGGAGGCATGGTGGCTGCGAGTACTCATGTAAGTTGCTGATTGGTCGGGCTTTGGATAGGAGGGAGTTCTAGGTCTTAGGGCGTGCTTTAGCTTATATTTTTTGTGTTTCTCTGCGTTTGCTCAAGCACATAAAGGTAGATGGTCTGTAAAAAAAATGTTACACTGGGAGAGAGAGAGAGAGAGAGAGAGAGAGAAGGGGAGGGGAGGTGATTTGGTTTTATGCTACGAACCTTTATTGGAAACGTTATGTATAGACGTGTCTCAAGTTTTTTTTTCAATTTATTTTATAGAAACCTTATAAATATAGGCCTTAGTTCCCTTCAGTCTTCTCAGTTATATTAGTAGCCTACATACATACATTAGAAATTAAATATATTATTGTTTTAGAAACTTAATTGGCAGATGCATTGAGTCTTTTCAACCGGTAGAGTTGAGTTTAGGATTTTCAAGTATTTTTTGGAGACACAATTGATAGGGTCATTATGAGTCTTGCCAGTTATTTCCAGATTTGTGTTGAGGCGTGTCAGTTATTGGTCGAGAAATAATACTTAAACGTTGTAATTGTATTCTTCAACCCAGGGCTCCACATGGTCTGCCCCGACGTACAGTGGCATTGTTGTGGAAATGAGACTGTTGGATTCCCATGGTAGACTCAGGAGATTCACCAAGGAAGACCATCCAATGATCATGAAAGCAGCTTCCTGTAATCTGGGAATGTTCGGCATTATGTATGACATCACTATCAAGGTAAGAACGGGTGCCTTATAATATTGATTGTACATAATCTATCTGCTTGTTCAAGTCAGGTCGGAAATGTTTGGGTCGTATCGCATCGGGTCGGGTTGGGTCCGGTTGGCTCTGAAAATGACCAGTGCAGACTGTCTCACATAAACCTCTGTTTAGTTTAACAAAATTTGACTCTGAATTCTTTTTTTTTATTTTATTATTATTATATTGTAATGAGTGTGAAGCTAAAGGGTGCCACTGACAGATTGTTATTTTATACTCTTCTTATTCGATGGCCAAGTGAAGATTGATCAATTGTATCTAAACTTGGATGCTCTCGAAACATCCTATAACAATAATTACCATTCTAGTCTTCCCCCTATTTCAGTGTTTCTTAACCTCGGTTCAATCGAATCATACGGTTTTCGATGAGTCAGTTTCAGGCATTCTGTGCAGGCCAAGAAGCTCCCACGATTTGCATGCGTGCGTGCGTGCGTGCGTGCGTGCGTACGTGCGTACGTGCGTGTGTGCGCGTGCGCGTGGTGAGATTGTATGTTCGGGGTTCGAGCCACAGCACTTTACACAAATTTCCTATTTGGCTCGGTCCTTTCAGAAACAGACGTTAAACTCGGGAGTCCCGCCTCTTAAATAGCCTACTAGTGTTGATAGAGGGAGGCGTGAAACGTATACCATTCCACATAAATCATTTCACCAGGTGGAGCCTACGTTCGTCGTGAAGGCCGAGAACAGGTTCGTCCGTCTAGGAGACTTGATGTTGAACAAGGACGCACTGAGAGCTCAGGTGACAGGAAGCTTCCTCACAGAGATCTCCTGGTTCCCCTTCAACAAAATCAGTGACGCAGCCGCGGAGGAATACTCCAGAACCGGAGCGATCCCCGACGATTGGAGCGCCGCTGACGACACCGTCTGGTTG